TGGGAAAAAAGGAACAGAAGTGCTGATTGCATATTAGCAAGTAGATTGTGTTTGCATTGTGCGTCGTTGTCTTTACATCTCCTTGTGTGTGTGTGTGTGTGTGTGTGTGTGTGTGTGTGTGTGTGTGTGTGTGTGTGTGTGTGTGTGTGTGTGTGTGTGTGTGTGTGTGTGTGTGTGTGTGTGTGTGTCTGTTTTCCCTGCCTGATGAGGTCACGATGAGAGACGGTGCTGCTGGCAGGGCCTGTCATTGCCAGTCACCGTTTTTAGTTGTTGTTTGGTTTTCTGCCCGAGGAAGAAAAGGTGCTTCAAGGGAATCAACAGCCACCGGGTGTCATGTGCACATGGCCTTTCTGTCTGTTAGCTTGTGTACATTTACATATCCCCGCGTCAAGAGAGTATTTTTAAGTGTGTCCGCAAATGTATGTGGTGATATCGATGTCTTTTTAAGACTGAGTCGACAGGCCAAAATATTATTGAGTAGTTTGAAAGCCAAAAGTTTCTCAGAGCTTGATTTAACAGGGCTTTCTGCAGAATATATTTATACATCCTCTCCAGAGAACAATACGCTCCTTGTGCCTGCTTAATAATATACTAGGAGATGAGACATTTGGAACAAACTGAGTTTTCTCTTAATCCTTCGGCATTAACTCTGTTCCTTTATCTTGCATGTGCGTTTAGTTTTGCACCTGGGTGTCTGGGTTTTTCCTGGGTGTCTCAGCTTATTTGTTTGCACATTTTGAGGCGTAAGCACTGTGTCTACGGAACGCTTTATCTTCGCTTTAACAGCACAGAGATGATTGCGAGGGCCCGAGGTCAACACCCTTGTGTGTCCGAGGAGGACATTAATTTGCCGGAAGGTCCATTAAAAGGCCAAAGGCTAACTGTAAGGTGGGAATTAACAAAAATACTATGATTTATAAGCCCCCAGACCTTTAAAGACAGCCATAAATATACATTAGTTTCAAGAGGTGAATTGGAGGGTAATGCAAGTTAACGCCACTCAAGTTCTGTAGTCCCAGAGTGCTGCACTGTTCTAGTTTAAAGTTTTTTTTTTTTTCTGAACCTTATAATTTCTTCTGAGTATGAACTACAATTGACCCACAACCTGCACATACATGCAAGGTGGTGATAAAACAAACCATTTGGCAGAACACACAGAGGTAAACAGAGTTAAGGGTTATAGTTAGAGGCCATATTATGCTTATGGGGTTTCCCGTTTCCTGTAGTGTGCTATATGTTTTTTTGCATATTAATGGTCTGCAAAGGCTAAAATCCCAAAGTTCCCTCCAGAGGGAGTGTCTTTCCCACACACTCTCACCCTGCCTGAAACCCCCCCAATTGGAGTCCTTTGTCTTAGTCTGACTAATCACAACAGAGCCGGCCAGCTAATCAGAGCAGACTGGGCTCTGGTTTCAGACAGAGGGTGAAAAGAGGTGCTGCAGCACAGGCAGTATGAGAAAAATAAAGCATTTTTTGAAAATTAAAGCACGGAAAAAATACAAATATGAAACCTGAAAATAAGCATAATACTTTAGGGCCACACTAAAACTTGCTAAACCAAATACAATACGTTCAAGGGATAGGTTGGGTTCTTGAAAATGGGATGGTATGAGGTAATCATTCATAGTTAGTGTACAGATCGTGTCTGCACACCCCCAGTTTAGAAAACTAAACTTGTACACCTCATACAACCCTACTTCAACAACCCCAAATATCACTACAAATAAAAATTGAATATATATAATATAATTTTTCTTTACTTGCTTGTAAAGCAATTTGAGCACCAGGAAAAGCGCTATATACAGAACATGTGTTATTATTATTATACATTTTCGGCCCTTATATGCAGCTATTTAAAAATAGACCAGATTGTACTGTAGTCTCCATTGATCCCACAGGAAAACAAGATTGTGCTGTTAATCCTCTGTTGACTTAATTAATTCAATCCAAGTTTAAGCATACATGAACCTTCTCTGCATCTATTCGTATTCATTATTTTACCCACCAAAAAAGCCTCCAGCGTCACATGACCCTGCATAGTTAGATAAGAGGGTACTCTTACCCTATCATAAATCCATATGATGGAAAACATAAAAGATCATGTTTAATTGGAGTTTTTATTTTATTTCAAGTACTTAAATGTATCTCCCTCCCAGCCCACCTCTATGTAACCCTACTCTCGTGCCCAATATGGGTCTCCCCCCCTGTCTTTTCTGGCCATTGCTGTTTCCATCTGCGATAGCCCGGGTCTCCCCTCTCCTTCCTTATGGTTCCTGCAGTATTGCTGATTCTCCTGCCTGCTGTCTCGGTCTGTGAAATCTGTGACTCCCCCCCCCCCCCCCGTCTGTTTGGCCCTTGCTGTCCCTTGTCTGTGAGACTCGTGTCTCCTCTGGCTCTTTGGCCACGGCACAGTCTTTGTTGCCCGTCTCGCTCCCTGTGAGGCCTGAATTAGCAACACGATTAGATCCACACCATGCACACAACAGTAGGCCTTAGACAGTGTGTTGACAGTGCTGTCGTAAATAATAGATGGTATTTACATGTGGACCGGATGACATTGGCAGTTAGAACTTGTAATATTATAATAGCGGATTGAGTCAAGGTTAGTTTTGTCTTTATATTCAGTATCTGTTCTGGTACTAAATTATATTAGAAAGGTCTTTATTTGGACCAAATCGACCCTTTTAACTTTTATTCCAATTTCCTTAATTACTTATTTCGTTTTGGCTTTAGACCATGAAAAATAATAACTAATACAAATATATGTATACACTTAAATCGATCTATTTCCCATAAATAAAAGTAATTGTTTCTTTAATTCAAGTTGTATTAAAGGTCCCCTACAGTATTATACTGTTTTTCATTTCTTTATTATAGGTCTCAGATATACAAAACTACATTTACGAAATAATGATGGCAATGTTCATCACAGTTTCCATAGTAATTGTAACACAATATAATTACAAAAGTAGAACAACAAGTAGATGCGTTTAACTTTAACCCTTCCTGAAATAAGGTGTAGTTTCTCTGATAGAGACAGTAGGTAACGCTGCATTTGCAGGTGTTTTACAGCCTCATTTTGATTTAAGTTTTAGCATCTGTTTAAGAGAACGTCAACTGTGTTAATTAAAGATGCAGAAACATTTTTTTTTCTATCTGAAACCCATACTGAGCATGACAAATTATGTATCTGCAGGTATGTATCAAATCAAATCAAGTTTTATTTATATAGCACATTTTTAAAACGATTTTTGGTCGAGCCAAAGTGCTGTACATACAATAAAAATACTTTACAATAAATAATTTCGAGTGACACATTCTCTATACTCGACTCCTTCCCTTCGTGTAATCCGTAATCTGGTTGCTATTCTAAAATCAGGTCTTAATATACACAGAGAAGAATGTGGATGGGATTTCACTATACTTTATTTACTTAAAGCTGCAAGTTAAGGTGAAGCTGCACAATATTATATATCATGTCCTATGGTAAAAAGTGAACCTAATAAAACTCCTGTCAAATTAAAAACATCAAAATGACGCTATATATCATTGCCAGAGATCTGTTTTCTTTTTGTAATGATTAATGACAGTATATCTGCAATACAAATAGATTTGTTTCACTTTCCCCCATTTGAAGCCATAACTGTGTGATTTCCTTCGAGGGAAAAGAGGCAACAATGGGTGAAATAAAAATGCACTGAAATGACTCTGAAAGGGTTCGTAGGGTTCAGTTATCTTGTTACTTCATTGGGATGGCTGGATTGATTTATGCTGATTATTAAATGTGATACACACTCTACTTATCTTTCTCCGTAGTATAATATCTATTGATATGTATGCTCACATTACATTGTTTGTGTGTGCGCCCGTCTGCTTTTAGTTATAGAGGTACAGAGGCATTATCAGTGGAATGGATCAGTCGGATAGATTTGTGTAAATGGACCCTTTGATCTGAAGGCCTCTCAGCCCTCGGGGAATAACAGATTAAAGATTGTCTAGTTTCTGGAGTTCTCTCGTTCCCTTTTCAGTCTCACTGATGTATCGCTTTCCTCCTCGGACCCTAAACTGCTCGTCTGGGCTTTGATCCTGCCATTCCGACGTGCTTTCCCACATGGCTTTACTGGAAAACCGGGAAATAACTGGAAAACCGAGAAATAACTACAAATTCCGGTCTGCGAAGGAGTAAAAAATGGCTGCAGAGTCCCTTTACTAAGATGGCTGTTTATGTCTTTCTCTTCCCTTTTATAATCTTTCTGGTATTCTCTTCTCTCTTTATTCTCTCTAAAATCAACTAATTTACATAACTGGTACCTCTTTTGTTCCAATTGCAGGACTGTGTGGGTTTTTCTATGATATGATTAAAGATGTCAATTGAATTTTTTTGTGTTGTCTTCGTTTTGTCGTCGGCATTAGCTCCGTGGCAATTACACACTTTGTCGGTGTGTATAGAGATGATTGCTGTAAGAGTGTGATTAAGCAATTAGTAAATATTGTGTTGCTTATCTGAGGCACTTTTCTTGCGAGAATTTGCGGTTTTTATTTTTTCTGTGTTTGAGGATGATGGGATATGGATTCACATTTTGATCTCTTGGTGTTTGGGAATCAATGGTGAGTCGGAGGATGTTGATGTTGAGAGTGGGGTGGTTGAAATGTTTTCACATCATTTTGATTGCACATTTCATTGGGAATGAATGAGGTGAGGAGGAAAACAAACAATTCGCTTCATCAATGTTGGCCTTGTCTCTTTGATGAATAGCTTTTGCTGCACTTTTTCTGCTCGCGACATTGGCAAATGATTACTAACTTGAGTTCTCTCTTCTGGTTTCTTTCATTCATCTCCTCCATCTCGCCTTTTCCACTCCAAATATCCGCTTCTCCCTCTCTTATACTTCCCTCTTACTTATCATCCCTTACATCTCTGTGATCTCACATTTCCACCTCTCCCGACGCCCAACCCTCTCACATTTTTCCATCTACCCTGATCTGTGACCTCACTGCAGGCGCTGACCTGTTCTCCAACTGCACGGAGGAGTGCAAGGCCCTGGGTCACTCGGACCGCTGCTGGATGCCCTCCTTTGTGCCGTCCGACGGGCGCCAGGGGCCGGACTACCGCAGCAACCTGCACGTCCCCGGCATGGACGCCACGTTGCCCGACACTGAGGTACCCTCCTCCGTCAACCTCCCCGATCAACTCACCATGACCTCGTCCACCGCCTCGTCCAACGATAGGTCATTCTCCACCTTTGGCAAGGACGGTCAAAGGTCACAGTCACACCAAAGCCTTCACCATCACCTCCATCAGCAACAGCCGCAGTACAGCTCCAGCACGCTAGAGAGGAAAGAGTATGATAGGGGGACCCTACCATACAAACCCACCTTTCTCTGTGAGTATCAGTATGAAAATTCCCTGGGACCCTATGACTTTAGTCTGGTCCAGAACAGATACTAAATCAGGGGACCATGAATCTGCCTTTTTGATTCTGATCGGGACTTTTTTATGTTGCTTATCTTCTATTTTTTAAAGAGTTTTTCTTTTTTAAACACAGCTTTATGTTTTGTTGTAACGCTTTTTATTTTGTAATTTATGATTTTTTTTGTTGAATGTAAAATGTAATATATTATTGCTAACTCCCTATCCTCCAAAACCCACTTTGATAAATTCAATTTAACGCCATCCTAACCCTAAATAATTTCTGTGAACATGTAATTTATAATAAAATAATTTAATACAGACTCATGATAAACTGTTGTGGCCCCTTTTCTTTCTTTTTTTACCTTTCTTTAATTTCCCCCTGAAATCCCCCCCAATAAGCCTTTTTGTATCTGATGCTCATACAAGTAAAGGTTAGCAACACAAGCACACATCACACACAATTAAAATGCCAAGTACTGTTTAAAACATCATGTGAGATTATGGAGAGGAAATGAAAGGTAGATCATCTCATTGTAAAGGACATATCTTTCCATTTGCTCAACAACAAGCTCGATCAAGATGACTTCCCTACTGAATAGCTTCGAAAGGTGAAACACACAACCCACGCCACTTCTTTTTCACAAGGATTGAAGTCCATTTGTTCTAAAAAGGAAGTGTCGAGTATCTATACTTGCTTGCTAGTGAATCAATACCTGACATAAAGAATGGTGGGTGAGGTTGGGCTGACTGAGGTCAACATTCTTCAGTTGGTAATATCACGAACACAAGTTTGTGTGCAAGAAAGAAGGACAACTATAACAATATGAGGAAGGCGTCATTTGGCTAATAAGAGGTTTTGATATCCATTGGAATAAATTGAGATGGCATTCTAAAGACGCAGACAGGGAATCATTGGCAGGACATTTCTTGTAGATGTCAATTGCTTTCCAAGCTCCCACATTACATGAATATTCTATTAGCTCTAAGAGTAGGGAATGGATTTGATATACACATTCAGTAGAGAAGTCATTTCCAGTCAAGTCACCACCATGTTAACCACCATCCTCCATGATACTGCATGCTGGCTGTGGACTGTCTCTCAGGTAAACGATAAGCTCTATAACCTGCTTCCCCCCCCCCACTCCTTGTTTGCGTCTTAGCAAACAGACCCAAGCAATCTTCCTCTCGCACATCAGGTCTCTGAGAAAAATAATTTGTATTTAGCCTTTAGGTGCTAGAGCGTGCTATGCTCCAAATATAGCTGCCTGCGCGTCTGCTCATCTCGTCTGCCTCGAAGGGGTTAGGATAAATGCACTCCATACTCGCTCCGTCCAAAAAACTCACAACTTTAATCGTCTAATTTTTTACTCATTTGATTTCATCCATCTTTCCTGGTCTTTTTGAAATAAATTGACCACCCGTTGAAACTGGAAAGGTTCTGTTGTTCATCAGTGTGTGAAAAAAGATGGGAATAGTCCCAGAGGCTGCAGCTCTATTAACCAATTGGCATCATGTTCTACTTTTTAAAAATAGCACCGCATGCTACTGGCTTTGGCGTTGCTCTGATCACCAGGGTTGCCTTGATAAAGGTTTATGAATGTTTAATGAGCCATTTATAGATAATTAATGAAGCAATTAGTGCTCTGTTTATTTTCAAGCATGCATTATGTAGCCACCAAATTTCAAACGTTTATCTTTACTGATGGACATGTTTTTTACCCAATTCCCAAATTAGTTTGCCATTAAAACTGAGGACCAGCCTTTAGGGTATATAAATAACTTCACAGAGAGTCCTTTGTGGCACGTATCCTTCAAGAGATGGTATTTCGAGCCGATTGTGTCACCAAAGAGTCTCAAGGGATCGGGTGCCATTTGTCTTTAACAAGTGTGTTCTCTGTGTTTTCAGCCCGCAAAAGGATTTGCTAGCTCGTTCCACGTAGACCTGTCGGAGACAGCGTGAATTTCTGTGCTAAAACCACCAACGCTGATGCTGGAGACAGCAACAGACAACTACACAAACAGTAACCTGGACAAAAGCAACCTTGGTTAAGCTTCATTATCTTGGGCGTCGAACTGTAACAAAGCCTTGGCAGTGGTCGTCGGGGGAGAAGAGGAGAACTAAATACTGAGTAGCTGTAAACCTCAAGATATTTTGAGGAGCAATCCAAGGCCTTATTCCTCTCAGCAGGACTGAGACTGGGGCCGAAACACTCAACATGTGAAATTATTAAGTCATCAGCAGACAGATTAGAGGAACTGAAACGGACATAGGAATACAAAACCTGAAGAAGAGGGACCCATTAGCCCACAGAGGTGGGTTGTTTTTTTTGGACTGAGGAGTTAGCCTCTAGAGATCTGTGTGTGCCTGTTTACATGACGAAGAAAAATAATGTTTCTGTACAAACTTCAACCAATGTCACACGGAGCCCTTTAGCTATTTCTATGGTCACCACTAAGCCAACTGTACAGAGACTGTGTGGGGTAAAAAAAATTGAGAGGAAGTGAGAAACTGAGCAGAAGGTTAGACATAGAGTGAGAGAGATCAGATGTTGTACAGGTATAAAATGACACGGGGAAAATAAAAAAGAAGGAAAAGGGGACGAGCAGAGATGATGTGCAGTACTATAAAATTCTGTATCTCCGGTTTTTTGACTTGACTGTCTTTATATAACTTCTCTTCTTTTGTTTCTGTTGTTCTTTCTGTGTGGTTAAAGTGTGCAGACTAAAGTATTCCAACTTACTGTTACAGACAGGAACATGCTGTCAAGAGCCGGGTTCAGTCCTCTTTCAAGTTTAGCCACTTCAGGAAGGAGATTGTAACACTGCGTAGAAAAAAAGGAGAGAAAAACAATCCACATGTTCAGTTTATCACTAAAATATCACAAATGAATGTTCTCATGTCTAAACTAGTGACTAACAGTTCCTTCCTGAGCTGACTGCAGAGCAAGTGAAATGACCCTTTACCAGGATATGGTTCCCTTGATGCCATTGGCCTATACATAAACAATCAGACACACTCAGTGGTTTTTATCATGTGTGCAAAGTGTTTACTGTGCTATTTTAAAAAGCTTATAAATGAATATAAATCTATATATAACTATATATATATATACAATATACTTTTTTCTGAAAACTGTGTAACCATTGGTTAGTTTCTACACTTCATACTGTCATTCAATCTAATAATACCAAGTGCTACAAAATCAAGACATGTATGGATCAAATTGAGAAGGAGTGCTTCTGCCTAAATAAGCAAACTCCTTCGCACCAACCAAGGATTAAGTTGATGTTCTTTTTTGATGTTACTTTTCACCGTTGACAGATGCTGGGCCTTGTTGTGTGTAGCAAAGACACCAGTTGAGTTGTTTTGGCCTGTTGTGTATTTTTACTAGCAGACTATGTGTTCATGTACAGGAACGGGTGGCTATCACAATCGAGCTAGATATCAAAGGTTTTACAATCATACAAGAGAGGCATACACGGATAAATATGGACATAATCAGACAATACATGGCGCAAAATATTGCACACACAAACATGCACACACACACAGGTCAAATGGTGATTAATAAACAGTGTCATTGAAATTATCTAATGTGTGTTTTGTTGGGTTTCTTAAGAATATTAGCGTGTATTGATCAGAAAACACTAAGCTTAAATCCATGTGCTTAAGCCAAATACTAATGTTAGTATGCAAACAAGCTCACAAGGACGTTGCTAACAGGTTATTACAAAGCAGGTGTTATTGTTTAGAATGCTACCATTTGCTAATTAGCACTAAACACCAAGTTCAGCTGAGGCTGATGTTAGTTCTGCGGCTATTTGGTCATAAACCAAAGTATTCAATATATTACAAATTTGACCATGATAGTGACGCTAGATGAAAGTCAGATATAAACAACATGTGCACATGAATGGTTGAGCCAAATTTCGTGGGAATCTATCCAATGGCTAAGACCTTAAAAAGCAAAATAAAGCTATTAAAGTTATTCTCAAACCAAGAAAGGCTGAACAAATGTAAAAAGTTGGGCATTGTTTGATGCTAGTGCTAGAGGAAAAGTTGGGGGATGACCAAATCTATTAGGATATATCCTCTCGGGACCAAAAGGTTTTCACCAATTTCCATAGCAATACATCCTGTATTTGTCTTTTGAAGCAAAAAAAAAGTCTACTACCTACTACTAGTTAATAGAGGTCAGTATGATTAATCCTCTGGGGACAATGCATATCCAAAAATGTACAAACTTTGATGATAATTCATGTTATCAATAGTGTTGCCATTCCAAAAGTGCTAAAAGTGTGGTTCATAATAATGTTGTTAACTTGGATTGAAGCAGTTTATTTATTACAGACAAAGGAGGCATAGTGTAAAAACAGCCAAAAGCTGTGAACCATTTGTTCAGTCAAAGCAAGAAGCAACGTATTGCTTAAAATCCTCATGGAGCACATCCACTGATTTCCCTGTTGTTTTTAGCACATACATTTTCATGAAAAGACATTTAGTTATCCCAAAATAATGTCATGGACTGTCAAGATGTAATCACTATGGTTTTGTTCTACTTTTCTCATTCCCTGACCTCATTAGCTCATGAAAAAAACTTTTCTGGTGCCTGTCACTTGAGCCTTCGGTCCATTTTCTTCAAACATCACCATCCCCCTACATCCCAATCCTACCCCTTCACTCCAGTGTGATCTTTACATGGCCTGGCACTAGTTTACAGAAACAAGACGAAGAAGAAGCACGCTGGAGTCTGAATCTACTGCTGCAAAAGCCTTGGGGTCATCAGGGGGATTCAACAGTCCCTCACTTGACAGCCTAGAAACAGATATGATCTGTTTGTATCCATCACAAGATAGCCTTCTTTTTTAGGAGCGGGGATACATGGGACCAGGGCATGTGACTGATGCAATGTGTGCCTTCTTGAATTAGAGGCCTTTGGGTTCCTGATTAAAATCTTACAGAGGAAAAACCCGGCATATGTTTATGACTGGAAAATGGGCAGAAAGAACAGGGTCATAGTTTGGTTATTGTATAGGAATACGGGGTAATAGGGTGTAAATATCGTCGTACCAGCATGGTCATACTGTGGTATTAAAATATGTATTCACAGTTATTACTCCAATAAGGCCATACTCAATGACCAGCATTATATTGTTAGAATTAGCCCGAGAACCCATATATTGTAAACGGGATATCCCATTAGATCTTCGATCCCATCTGATAGCCAGTTCTCAACATTTTCCATTATGACACTCTCTGAATACCCTTTTAACATTAATTGAGAAGTCTTGAAAAATGTCAACACCTTAAATCCTCAAGAAAACCCTTGGGGTATTCAAGGGGGGATGATAGGGATTCTTTCAGAAGGCATTCAAAGTGTTGTTTGTGCATAAGAATGTTTTTTGGGAAGAATCAGAAAAAGAGAGTGTGAAGAGTTCAATCTTTGCCTTGGCCTGGGTCATTTGGAAACTTGGTGTATTGCTTTGAGAATTGCATGTTGGATCGTCGTTTTCGGAGTGTTACACCTCAATCAACATATTTTCCAATATTTCCTTATAGAGATACTTGAAATGACCATATCACAACTTTATTGTTCTTCTCCCGTTACACTGTTATCAGCTTGATCAAGAGCTGTGATGTATTGCTCCCCCATGGCTACCTATCCCAATTGTATTAAATGGGTACTGGCAGTCATACTTGAGGAATAGAGTCCAACATAATATTAACACTTTTGGTTTTAGAACATAAAGATATTAGACATAGAACATGTTCTTTACTGATAAACTACAAATATGTGGTCCGAAATTAGAAATGTTTCCTGATCTACATGTAGCTGAGTAAAATATTGGTCCACATGGCCAGAAAACAAGTTGCGGTCAGCCCAAGCATTCAATGTCAACTTTACATAATTAATAGTTAACAATGCAACAGACCCATTTATGGAACACTTTATGGAACAATACAACATTGGAAACTCAAGGTTGACTTCCCAGTTTCATTTGGAGTGAGATGAAGTTAGGACCAAGGGATTTAGTTCACAATCAAGGCCAACAGCTTGAAATGTTACAATGTGGAGCTTTTATACTGAGCTCAAGTGCCACTGAGACAGATAGAAAGAAAGTCAAGGCAAACATGTTGGCTTGGAAGTACAGGCCGCATGACCTACAGGTGGAGACTGACATTATATCAATGGTAGTGAGTTGACCTGATCTGTTTGTCCTTCAAGGCGCCTCCATGGCAGACAGAGTAGAATAAGAGTCATTGCAACTTAATCATCTTGTCCATCTCTCCTCTTCTCTCCATACGAGGTTGAGTGAGGTGACCTAGCTGTCTGTCTGAGCCTCCAAGCCTGTCCCTCATATTCTTCCCCTGGCAGACGCACTTCATTACTCTGGCTAAATAGACTTTCAAGAGACCCCATCAGCCATCATTTACACAGCCCGGCCCTATCACCTTTCACCACGTCCACTACACACCGCCTGCACTATACGACTCGCCCATGCAGACACACACCTACCAACTGGACCCACTCTCCTCGGCCTTCTTATCCCTCGCCACCCCATCAGTCAACACGCACACACACTTCCACACACACAAGCAGGAATCTTTGGGCTCTATTCCCCAGCCACCTCATCAGGCCAGAGCAGACAGCTATTACAGTCCGCGCTCCAATGCCCATTTCTCCTCCCATCTCTTTCCTTATCTGCCGGCCTGCTACTTCTGCAACAACCTATTGACCTGAGACGTAGCCTCGCCGCCCTGTTGACCCCGTGCACGTCTAACGGAATGCCTGCTATCTTTCCCCGCGCCAAACTCCATCCAAACTGATGATTTTATTCGTTTCACCTCAGGTAAGACGTGTTTTGAAATTGTTTTCGCGGCATGGTCCAAATGGTTGTCTGAATGATGTTGCAAAATAGAAAAGCAATGGCTTTTCAAGCATTAATCATTTTACACGATTAGCTTCACAAACATATCATGATAATCACACCTTACAAATAAGTATGGGTCGCTAAATAGCAATTTTAATAACGTGGTCACATTAGTCCAAAGATTATTTTTTAATTGAAACTCTTTTAAAAAGGACTCTCCAATGTGAAAGTCAGAAAAAAACATTTTTAATTATGCTTTTGTTTCAACAAAATATGTTTAATCTGTGGTTTGATTCGATAAAAAGTAAAGAGTGTCAAATACTGAAGCACTGTTCTTTTATTCATATTGTCCATTGTTTTTTTGTCTCAGGTCTTATTAAATATGCTGTCGACAGCATCTTTTACCGTCTGATATCTCCAGAACAGCGTGGACAGACTGCACAAAAAAGCCCATACAGACCCAAATTACCCTCATCTGCGCTTTTTCTTATCTGTTCCAAGGTAAGAAAGGAGTCAGGTTCTTCTTTTTCAGTTTCTCAAGATGACCTTCATCAAACCACTGAGGCCACAGTTACTTCTGTCTTCACTTATTTATTCCAAAGATGTCTGATATTCGTAAGACATAGCATATGTGTCTAGCATTAATGATCTTAGGGCTGACTTAAGTAAGTCTTGGAGGGCATATTTCACCTTTATTATTGGTTGATTTGAAAAATGCATTAATAAATCTCTTTCTCCAGTGTGAACACCATGGATGTGCGATATACAGAAAGTAAACTCACTTACCACATAATGTATTTATTGGTACTGCTGCTATTTTGTTTACTCTCACAATGTCATCTGCCAGGTGATAGCAACCGCATAGCTTTTCCCTCCAGAGATGGTTGAAAATAAACCAAAGCTAAACAGACTGTGATTATTGGACACACAATCATGTGGAAACAAGAGCAAAATAAAATAGCATTTTGGAGAGTGAACAACTCCTAAATCCTGATGACACAGAAAAATATATACACCATTATAGCAAACCCAAAACCTTACCTCCTTTGCGGATGTTGCTAATGAAGTTTCGCTCCATTTCTATGTGAAAATACACCATTATTTTTGGTAAATGAAGATCATATGATGTCGCAACGAAAAAGTAAGTTTTATTTTGAACTTAATAATATCTGCCAATGGCCCCTGGTATTACCCCATACTGTGTTTAAAACAGCGATTATGGATATAAAGACTAGATATGTCCATCCTCTGGGCTCAGTGAAACCAGGACAAAAAAAACAAACAATTTTCAGCCTGGATAACAATAACTGCTTTTCCAATAACACCACACGCACACACACTCACGGGGCCTGAACCGTCTTGCCCTCAGCCACCATGCCCTCTCATTCTATATTCTGGACAGGAAGTAGTGAGTTGGTAACCTGGGGTGACGGAATCAGGCCTCTGACTCACGCCCTGACCTCAAGGGGGGAAACAACCCAGTGGAGGACAGACCTCACCCTCCAGCGGTAGGCTAACACAACATGGCTGACAGAGACAAACAAGCAAAAGCAAAGCCTGGATGACTACTATAAAAGAACAAACATCACTGAGAGCAATAGATGCCCGCACGCAAAGCAAAACAAAAGGGCTAGTGTATGGCTGGTATAGTGGAACAAGACAACAGTCTTCATGGATCCAGTGGAAAGCTACATTAATTTAAGGTTGTTAAAACAGA